GTAAGATAAAGTTAACTACAAGACAGTAAAATGAAAGACAAATATTTCTTCAAGGGTCTTTGCCGTTTTAGAGTTCCGGTTTTAAAAACTCTGCTAAATGCTCGATTCCTAAAAAGCAATGGATTTTCTTTCCAGTAACAGCCGTTTTGTCTCACTCCTGTACATTAGAACCTTATTTTCACAAAAACTACATTTAGGTCCAGAGTTCAAATCTGCTAAACTTCTCTGAAGCAGGATTTGTCACATCTGAAAAATATTATATAACGAATTTATCTGAAAGCCAGAACTTATGTTTTTAGAAGAGGAAAAACTGGCGGTGAAATCGGTAAAAAATCATTAAATGAGCACCATTCCCGTATCAAAGACTTCACTGATACTACAACAACATAAAACATCAAAGAATAATAGCAAAATGAAAATAAATGATGGTTCACTACTTCAGCATTCACCACACCACTATCCATTCCAAAAAATAAGAGCCGTGTCTATTTTGTGAATAACTTTTGATAGAAAACAGCTAGAGACCTCCGATTTTTGCCTTTTGAAAAGGCAGACTTCATTCAACCAGAGGCATATTTTCATAACCAAAGTTTTTTCCAGAAGAGTTTTCTAAAACAGGTTTTCAGGATATCTCTGGAAAACTAGGTCCACTGCAAAAATTTCCCAATACGACTGTACTGCTTTTTTTCATGAACGCATAGTCTGGAGTGTCCTCTTCAAAATGGGAGTAAAGTGAGACCTTCTTTCTTCCTTCTTGCTGTTCATTTCTGACTGACGCCTTTTATTCGGTGGTGTAACATCAGGAGTTGATCCGTGACGTTTATCTGGGGATGTTGGACGATTGTGCGGAACAATCGTGGTTGCTGGTTTGGATACACCTGCAGCATCTCTCAGTTTATATCGACGTGACACTTCCATAAATGTCTGGTCATCTTCAAACGGTTCATCGTCTCCATCGTCTACTTCCATATTCTGCTGTGGTTTTCCACGTAGTGCTTTTAATCGTGAAAAAAATGAACGAATCTGCCCTTCTTTTAGAAACTCTTTCTGAGTGAAATAAAATTTTCCACCGGGTAGCTTCCTTTGTTGCAGTTCGGTGACCAATTCCTCCGGCTTCCACCGCATTTTATTTAGTAGACCGTCACCGAATTTGTCGGTCAGATATTTTATCTGTCCAGGAGTTAGACGATTTTGTGTACGTTATTTTGGTAATGCCCAGCCACGTGAAGGCCGTGAAATATCTGATCGGCGATTATCCGTAGAATCAACTTCTAGTGAAAGTGATATCATACGGCGATCACCGAAATTTTGAATGATACATTTGCATGGCTTGATCTTTCATTGGAATACGTTCAACCTTGCGACGGTGTTTACCGCTTGCCATATGAGTGATCAAATTGCTCTTTTTTATAAATGCAGCTATACAGCCTTCTTCTGGACATTCATGTAATTTACTGGGCGATGTCTGAATGTCATGATGAATTTCGGCCGTTGTGACGTTACGAGATGCCGTTGTCGATTGTCTATTTTTACTCGTTGTTGTTGAAGTGGATATTGTTGAGGTGGCAGAAACAGAATCTTCACAGTGAATTCACAAACTAACAGAGCTGGCAGACTTCAGATCTTTCCATTGAATGAGTTTTCCTGATCCTATATTCCAGGCACGGTGAACACGACGACCGTTCTTTTCAAAACCGAAATTGTTAATGGTAGTGATTTTCGGGATAGATAGTGTTGTTTTCTCTTTGAGACTGATAAGTTTACATTCAACTGCTTGTACACGTTTGACACCATCGTATGAATGACAAGCTTCAATAAATTCGGAGACATTTGTCACATTATGCTTCTCGTTCAAATATCGACGAACATGTGCTTTGTATACAGAAAATGGAAGCCGTTAGCTGGACAAGCTGTGGATAGGAGCAGTCCATCGATTTTCTAGATTGACTTCAGATACTTCTAGAAATTTTCTAAATTCATGCTTAGTTGAAGTCACATCCCATAAAATGAAGAGGATATTAATTGGACAGTTGACAATTCAAATGCACGGAAGTGAACGAAACATCAAAACTTAAGAGTATACTTACCAGAGATATACGCGCACGAGGTAAGTTTTAGACTTACAATAAAGGACCTTCCCCTTTCGAAAGAATGCCATTTCACAAGACCGTGACTTTTTCCGCTGAATCGATCTCGAGCAGTAAATCATCGTACAGCACGACCATCATTTTCAGTGTTACTCTTTATCATGGCAATTTAAGATTTTTCAACGTCATTTTTGAATGAAAAATTGAAAAATATTGATGTTTTGAACTGCAGGAAAAAATAGTGACATTTTCACGTTTGATCGCGTTTCGAAATTTTAAAATCACTTTTTTCTTATTTTCCACCGAAAACTGAGTCTGGTAAGCTAATTTTGGAAATTTTAGAAGCTAAAATGGACTCAGAATCTGCGAAGTACGAGCAGAATGGTAAATGGGCTGCCGGTCAATTTTACGAACTTACCTAGTCCTACGATTTTGGAGATAAAATGTTTTCTTTTACTTCATTCTGATCTCGATACTTGTGAAAAAAAGGTTAAGTATCCTTTTTGGAAGGTTTTCTTTTGTTGCCGAGAAATCAGTGAAAAAGCAATTAAATTTGCTGCGCATTTTACCGTTTTCTCCGTCAAACGCAAAAAAGGATATTTGGGGGATCAATCTTAAAACCAAAGTTGAAAAATGCGTTTCGAACATTTTCGGGAATTCTGGATTTTTAGTGAAAATCCTGCGCTTTTTTTTCAAGTTTTGAGAAAGTCGAGAACAGTCGAAACAATACGGACTACTTCAAATCCCGAAACACACATTTTTCGACTCAGTTTGTAACGCTGATTCTGAAACTGGCCTTTTTTGTGTCGAAAAGTTGATTTTTAATAGAGGAAACGGCAAAATACGAGCCCAATTTCATTGTTTTTCTAGTGATTTCGAACAAAATTGAAATTCTCGGCAACAGAACAAAATTTTCCGAAAAAGATAAAACGCACAAACAGTACCGATAACCGTTTCCTCATAATATGCGGGCAGTGTACTAGTATAATATGCTAGATAGCTTGTTCCACAATAACCCTGATTTGGTAAACGACTATATAGTTGGGTGACCAACCATTCGGTAACACGGTACGAGCTAAAGAGCACGGTATTTTTTTTCACAAGTATCGAGGTCAGAATGAAGTAAAAGAAAACATTTTATCTCCAAAATCGTAGGACTAGGTAAGTTCGTAAAATTGACCGGCAGCCCATTTACCATTCTGCTCGTACTTCGCAGATTCTGAGTCCATTTTAGCTTCTAAAATTTCCAAAATTAGCTTATCAGACTCAGTTTTCGGTGGAAAATAAGAAAAAGTGATTTTGAAATTTCGAAACGCGATCAAACGTGAAAATGTCACTATTTTTTCCTGCAGTTCAAAACATCAATATTTTTCAATTTTTTCATTCAAAAATGGCGTTGAAAAATCTTACAGAAAGGAAAAATTGACTTTTTCCTATCTAATTTGGTGAGCTTTATCCAACGATCAAAAATCATGGTATATCTCTAAATTGGCAGCACATTATTTCGCTTTCATGTCACAAACTTTATTCAGAACTGGTAGGTGAACGAAGAGCTTTGAGCCGAACACTCAAAAAGAATTTGGTATTGGGCCAATGCTCAGATCGTATCGGACCATGGAAAAAAACTGGCATATAGATGCTACAACAGGAGAAAACCGCTGATTTCAAAGCAGAGTTCCGTCTAGACGATCTTAAATGATTGCGCTTGAATTTTTACTTTATTTTTCAATTCATTGTAACATTCCGTCTTATTTGATTGATCGGATTTCGACGCGTGTCTTCGCAGCCACGCTGCAAGATTACTGCTCGGTAACAGGACGTCCTTGATGAACCACAAGTGCAGTCAGGATTTGGTAACAAAGTGCATATCACCGGATCGAAAAATTTTAAAGGCTTGTTCGATCAAAACCGATTGCAGATTCGTCTTCTCCATGGTTGATTATGTTGTACGCGATAACTTCTGGATTGGGGTACTTTAGAAAAATTTTTCGACATGCCTTTGGCCCCATATGGTAACTTTTTGAAAAATTCTTGTGCAAGACCACGGGAAAATTTTTTTCTAAAGTACCCCGAGCCAAAAATTATTGCGTAACACATAATCAATCATGGAGAAGACGAATCTGCAATCGGTTTCGATCGAACTAGCTTTTAAAATTTTTCGATCTGGTGATATGAAACAGAAACTATTGTTATGTTGATACTACTACACTGTTAATCCGATGTATTTTATAGTTGATAGAAAATCGGAAATGATTTTACAGATTTTATGAAATCGTGAACGATTTTATAAGAATGTTGGAAATGTTTATTTTCTAGGTCTAATCGAGTCGACTTTCAAGAATTTTGATTTTCAAAATAGTCCGAAAAATCATCTTGATTCTTCAAGTAATAGAAAACGATTTCTGATTTTTGAGTGATGAGTTGACTGATTTTACAGAAAGTCGAACTGATTTTTTAAAGCAGTATTAGATTTTCTCTAACATAAAATTAATTTCTGGAAAATCGCCTTTATTTCTTATGAATTTGAACTTTTTTAGTTAAACGAGATATAAAGAGGGTAAGTAGAGCAAATGGACGCAGAATTTTTTGTTATTTCAGTCAATCTCTGATTCGTCAGACACCCAACTTCCTCTAATTAATGTCTCAGTCGAATACTCTGAGGAGCGTTGCCCTACATCATTACAGTGTTAGTTTATTTCACATTTGCATTAATGGTGGTTTTCTACGATATCAGTCAATAGTCTCTTTTTACCTTTTGTTTCAAAAAAAAGCTAACGCATTCTTCTTCTAAACCCAAGGAACATGCAGTAAAAAAATTTTGACGACACGTCATTCAGACTTTTTAGACTTTCTTCCAGTAAAAGTCGGACTAGCCGGAGGGGGCGGGAGGTGGCAGTATGAGGATGAGCCACCATACAAGAAGTTTAAGTTGAGCACTTTTGCATGTTGTAGATGTTATGGTGGCGATCGATGATATAGAACTTTTAGACTTTTAGAAGCTGCTAACTATCCTATAACATCCATTGCTGTTGCTCAACTTTAGCTTTTTGTAGAGTGACTCATTCTCATACTGCTAACTCCGCCCCGCCGGATGGTCCGACTTTTTCTGGAAGAAAGTCTAAAAAGTCTAAATTGCCGATCTCCACCATAACATCTACAACATCCAAAATTAGCACCATCACACCTTCTTCTCATTCAGTCCGAGTATACTTTCATAATCAAAGCTGTTTTCCGAAAACATTTGGAAGACTGGTTTCTGAGAATCTTTGAAAAACTAGTTCAGTTCTCCGGAAACTGAGATAGCAATCTATCGTTTTTTTTTCATAAATAGATAGTCCAAAGTGTCTTCTCCAAAATGGTAAACAAGCGAACTCTTAATCTTTTCTGGTTCAGGCGTGGCATCGGAGTTTTTGAGAGCCCCAGAATCATTATTTCTTAAGGTGTGTAACTCGGAAAACGAATAGAAATATAGGTAAATGACTACGCTGAATCTCGAGACAACATCTGTTTTCAAAAAGGTTGTAAAAACCAGATTTTAATGGTGAAGACAACGACGTTTCAATTAATGATATAGTGATTAATGCAGCTGTTTTAAACTTCATACTTTGTTTTATTTGTGATATTTTGAAGTTAGACGGTCATTTTTAAGCATAAACTAGCTTGTATATATGTATATATATAAAAAGAAAGTACAGTCGTTTTGAACGGTTAATTTATTCGTTCCTACTCACATGTAAAAGTAGTCATTGTAATAAAAAGAAAAAGAAAGGTAGTTTTCATTTTTTCGTACAGTTAGTTGATGTTTGAAAATGACCGTCTACAGCCGAAATATTACTAACAAAATAAAGCTTGAAGTTTAAAAAGTTGCATTAATCACTATGTTTCAAAAACCTGGTATACATATCCATAAAGATACCGGTACAGAACAATTATCACCACGATGGAGTAATGGTGTACATCTATTTTTACAAGATTAATACCGGAGTCGTTGAAAGCGATATTTATATCAACTATGTCATTTTTTAAACGTTATAAATATCATATTGTTGGTTTAACTGGTTCCTTAGGTTCAATTGATGAACAAAGCCTTTTTAATAGAGTATATAAACTTCGATTTTTTGAATTACCAAGATTTCGTCAAAAATTTTGAGAACTTCAAGGAAGTGTTTAAGCTGAATAAGAAGATTGGCTTGAAGCAATTAAAAATGCGTTAGATAAACAAATTAGAGTGAAATCAACAAAACATGATCAACGACGAGCTGTTTTAGTTATCTGTGAAAATGTAAAAAGTGTTTTAATACTAAAAGAATATTTATCTGATTCTTATCCAAATGCTCATACGTATAAAAGTGCTTATGAAAAATTTAAAATCGATCAATTAAATCCAGGTGATATTATCATTTCAACGAATTTAGCTGGACGAGAAACTGATTTAGATACGTCGGAGAAATTAGAAGAAAATGGTGGTTTACATGTTATTACAGCTTATTTACCAACATATATATGGATTGAAATGTAAGCATTTGGTCGGACAGCGAGAAAAGATAATAAAGGTACAGGAGAATATATTATTCAAAACCAATATGGTTTATCGATTGAAAAATTAAAACAAATACGAAACATGCTCGAAAGTGAACGATTAAATCTATTTTTAATTAATGATTTATCTAAAATCAAAACTGAAGAAGATTTATTGCAAGATTTTGATGACGAGAAGAAGTTTTCTATCTTGCATCGATGAATCCGCCAGAGAGAAGCGTCAAGTAGACGCTGTGCTTGTGACTTCGACGATGAAATATTTTAGCGAGACTATTTTTGATTTATCTAAAATCAAAATTGAAGAAGATTTATTGCAAGATTTTGATGATGATAAAAATCAATTATCTTGTATTGGATTTATTCAATTATATCGAAATGTTGAGAATAACTTAACAAATGATGTGAAAATTCGTGATCCTGGCCATCAAAATATACAATTTCAATTATATAGTTTAAAAAATCGATGGGCTTTTTGGTTAGATTCAATGACGGAATACATTAATATGATCAATGTCATTGGTAAACAAAGAATCATTGAAAAATTTAATGAATTTAAATCAAACATTGAACAATATGTTCAAGTAAGTAATTTTCAAAACTAATTATTGAACCAGCTGAATTAATTAAATTAGGAAAATATTATTGAGATCAGGAAAATTGGACCAAAGCCCCCCAGCTATTTTTTGTGTTATCAACAAGCCAGTCAAGATAAATTTTATTCATTTATGAAGTACGTTAACCTGATCCTTTTCTCTTTTCCATTTTCTTGTTCTTTAACATCATATACCATTTATCTATAAACTAGAAGAAAAGAATCCTGCCAGATTTAAAAATGTCAGAGTATCAAAATATTGAATAGCAGGTTCGATACAGAATTTTATTTCGCATCTAACCATATATAAGTTTTGGTTTGAAACTATAATCGTTCCAGAAATAATTTCTTGAAAAGTTTGACCATTTACTAACAGGAGGTCAACAAAAATTTCTATGAAGAAGAATAGTAAAGATATTGTTTATACCGGATTTTGTAGAGTGAAAAACGCGCTATAAACTGGCGACAAAAGAATTAAAACTATATGGTTGTTGTCTGAGAAAAAATTATTTTTCGAGCAAAATTTCAAATTTTCACTTTTCATACCCTTCACTAAAACGTCTATAGCAGGTCAAAGAAATACAGTATCATTTCCAAACTTTGTCGAAAATTGTCTGATACTTAATCTATCTAGTAACGCGATCTGAGCCTTTAAGACCCGGTGCATCAATAGGAAAAACATCTAGCACTGAGAAAGTTTCGTACAGTTGAACATACAGGACAATCGTCAAAATACGCGTCAGATATCATGATTTTCACCTAGCTTAAGGATTTAAAGGAACATTTCTTCGGCTCAGAATCGGAATATTTTATATACGCGAAACATGCATAATTGAACGGGCTTTAAAATGGTATATAGCACATCTTTTCAAACTAATGTCTTCATAGAGTTATTGGACAAACATTATTTATGACTATTTGCTTCCCGTATATGTAAGGTGCACGTAAAGCAAAATTACAGTGAAATTTTTTTTGAGTTTATTATACATATTCGGATTCGCCGTGACGCGCTGATCACGAATATGATCTTTAAAGTTCAAAAAAACCGTTTCTTGGGGGAGATATTTGCAAAATACCGGAAACATCGAAAAAAGCCCA